TGTGAAGTAATACTTACAGAGAGACAGAAGTCATTGTTACAGATATAATAGAAATAATGAAAGTGAGAGAAGAGATAGATATATAAAATCCCTCTCTTCTTCAGCTGCTTAGTGCAGTACAGATAAGTAGTGATACTGATCAGAGGTCACACTGAAGCCTTCTCACAGAGAGAAGATAAAGAAACTGCAGAACTCTGCAGACTCAACTTAGCAGTATTCTGAGCAGAGCTCAGACATGCTGCAGAAGAGAAACTACAGATTAAGCTTCTCAGAGTCACTGTCTTCAGAATCAAGCTCTTTCTGAGTTCCTCTCTGAATGATCACACAGGGTCATACATCACTGTATTGACTGAGGAAGGGGGCGGTGTTGCAATGACAGTGAAGGGGGCAGGGAACAGACTGAATGCAGACACATCAGCTAGCAGAAGAGATGACACCTCACTGCAGAGCACAGCAACTTTCACCACAGTCACAAGAGAAGCAGAAGAAGATGTGATAATAAAAGTGATGCTCTCACAGCTCATTGACACTGCTGTCTCCAACCTGGCTTTCTTGATAATTATGAAGGCCGTCATCACATCACAAAGACATTTGTTACTCACTAGAAAACATCAGAATAAGTCCTTGATTGTTCTTCAAGAATAATACTCTTATACACTCACTGTTGCAATTGAGAGAGAGAGAAGAAAAATGTTTTATAAAGAGAGAAATCTTTTTGAAAAATCCTGTCACTACTGTTAGCTTTGTCTCTAAAACACATCACTTTTACAGAGAATTTCATATATAGAATGAAATATGTTGAAAGATCTGTAAGTCACTTATTAATTACATTTTTCATCTTTCAAATTAATATATAAGAAACTCACTTACAATGCATTTGATTTAAATGAAGATGAGAAAAGAAAGATCTATACAGTTAGTAGAAAAACTTATCTATTTCTTTATATCACATGCAGTATATATACTGTCAATCAGTTGATAATTATTGCTATACAATAAAGATAATTTCTAATTCAGTAATCTTGAGAATATAGAGACTATACTCTTAAAGAGAAGAATATTGTCACACTCTCAGTTATATCAAGACTCTGCTGTGATTTCACATGACTCATTACTTTCATGTGAATAATTTCATTCATCTCACAGACTGTCTGAACCAGTTTTCAACTGCTCTATAACATTATTTAGATATATTATAGAAAGATTCAATTGATAAATATGAGAACCTTACTTCTATACAAGGTCAGCAGATTACTCTTTCTTAATAATAAGACATCACTGAGATATCACTTCAGCTATTCTCACCTGTGAAATGAGAGAAGAGTATTCACTCATTGTCTATATAGAATAGCTAGATGCTGGCTTCTCATCAAAGAAGTCAGTAATTTATTTCTTTTCTTCTACAGGAATAATATATACAAGAGTTACTGCATGTCTCATACAATCTTCTTAGTATACTAAGTATCATATCTGTGATATCCTCACAATAACTCTGTAGTCTATGAGCTCGCTATTCAAGCAAGATAGTCAAGCTCACTTATACAGCTTCTCAAACAACTACCTCTATGTGACGCCGCTGACTAGCCACCGCTTCGGTTCCGCCATATTACAATTATCTTATAAAAGAACTGTAGAAAAGATCTACTAAAACTGCTTAATATCTCTGATAGAATCTGATAAGATGTGATAATTGACTTCACTATTAATCTTTCTGAGAGTAAAGATTGTAGAAACATTCTAGTTATTATAAATTAATTAAGTAAAAATGTAATATTAAAATCTTATGATAAAATGAATACTGAATAAGTCACTGAAGCTTTTCTACAAAGTCTGTTCTATTAAATGTATAAATTACTAAGATCTATAGTATTAAATTAAGACTGTCAATTCATGAGTACTCTCTGAATAAGAATCTATCAAGTTCTTAAGATTATATACTGTTTATCAACTATCTATTATTCTGAGATAGATAATATATCAGAATAAATAATTCAGACTGTAAAGAATTATCTTTATAAGTTTTATAACTACTTATAAGATAACTGATATAATCTTCTTCTACACACAGAGATCACTATCAATGATCAAGATATTATTTTAACAGATATAACTCTATTTATTCTTATATACAGTTATTATATAAAGATGTTAGATCTTCTAAAGATCACACAGTTTATACTGAACTCTTACAGTTTAATTCAGATTGCTGATAATATAGTAATAAAACTCTAAAATATCTGTGATTGAGTAGAAGTCTCTATAATAAGTACTAAACAGAATTAAGAAGATTGAATCAATGTTTACTGAGATCTCACTGAATAATATAAGATAGAAGATCTGATATAATTGAATCTAGACTGGCCGTCAGAATCATGAATTTCACATTTGATTTCATTTAGTCTGATCTCATACATTTCTTGACGTGAATCCCGCTGGGACCGGCTATCAAAAAAACATGCAAAGTGACTATATATCAGATTTTAAAATGAGACCATAACTTGAAAAAAATGAGAAAGTGATCTCATTTGATCTCATTTAGTTTCATTCTTGACATAAAGTTACTATTTTTAGACATTTTAAGGTTTTTTTTAGACTATTTTTAATTTTTTAAAAAGTAACACTTTTTGATAACACTCAAATGAGATTTAAAGTCATTTAAAGCAATAAAAATAATTTAAATTGAGAAGTGGAAATCATGATCTCATTTGAAAAATGTGACAAGAGTAGACAGTAAGTTTCACTGAGACAGTATGAAACTACTATCTAATGTTAAAACTGTGTAATGAGATCAGTCAAATTGATAATGAGACTATTAAAAAATCTGATCCTGATCTCAGACACGGTCACACGGTCAGTCTAATTAAATCTTAAGAATATATGAATCATATATTCATCTCATACACTAGATTACTGTTATATTAGATATAAAGTGATAGAAGTTCTAGATAGTTATAACTATCATTTTAATATATTATCAGAGATTTATAATGTCTTTTATAGAAGCTTACTCTGCTGTGCTATCACTGATCTATTCTCTTCTTAACTGACTTCTGACTGATAATCACCGGAGATTATAGAAGAAGATAATGAGCTTAAGTAAGAGATTGAAGATATTTTCAATAAGAGATCACACAGCTGCAGCTGATAATATTTTACAAAATAAGTTAGCTATAATTAATTAATCTGAACTCTGAGTTCTGTATTATCTGAAACAGTGACTCTTGACTGATAAGAACTGCTTCTGAAAAGAGAGAACTAATGTAATAAGCTGCACCTGATCAATTATATAAACTATTCTGTTACACTTCACAGATTTCAACTGCTTTATTCTTAAATATATATACTCTGATTCTCAGTCATTCTCAATCACTGATTCTCAACTGCTATGAATGTGTACACTCTGATTCTTAGCCATTCTTAATTGCTAATTCTTAGTCATTATAAACATATATAGATTCTTCTGCCCTGAAGCTTCACTGCATACATTATCATATACACATATAAATATCTACTTCAATCACTGATTCTTGCACTTTCTCTTTCTTTTCCTTCTCTAATGTTTTTCTCTTTGTTATATAAGATCTATTAATATCATACTGATCTATTCAGCGTAGGCCTCTTATATATAGCTATTGTTGAGAATTATTTATTTAAATATAATAATATGACTTTTAGCTATGATAATAGCTTTCTTTCAATCAGTAAAAGTAGCAGATCAGATGTTAAAATAAGCTTAATTAATTTACTATAGAATAGATATAATTAACTTGATACAGAATACAAAGCAGATAACTGAATTATTTCAGTGAAGATTAATTATCAGTATTTCAAAGTCAGTAATAAAGTCAATTGCATACTAATTGTACTGTATTTATTGAGAATTCATGCATAATTCTGCTGTGAGAGCTGTATTGATTTTATAATAATTATCACATAGCTAAACTTTGAGAAATTCTCAGATAATAATATGTATATCATTATTAATTTATATGTATTAAATATATTAATGAATTTTAAGAGTTAAGTGACTGATAATAAAGACTATTTTAGAGATATCTACAGTGATGAGATATTCTCTGATATTATTATTCATATTAAGTAGTTAAAAGCATATGTTTATAAATCTATTAAAAATATCAGATTCTTGCAGTTTAATCTTAATTAAATAAGAATTTAGAGATGAGAAATCACTAGTAGAGTGTTTATTTAGAGTATTCAAATATTGAGTAAGATAAGTATTCTCTTTTATCATCATGCAGTTTTACTCAACTAGCTAATTAACTTGATTAATAAGACTTTGCATTTCACAGGTGAGTGCCATGATTACTAGTCAGATATAGAGATTAAAATTTTCAGGATTTTATAGCTGTGAGACTGTGACTGATATTGTAGAGAAGAAGAATCAGTGTATTAGAACTTAATCACATGAATATCAGAGTGATAGCAGCTTCATGTCAGAATGTAATACTACTGATTCTCGAGAAAGAGAACTAGATAGTAGAGAAGTGAAGAATGAGTATAGAATGCTGCAGCTTCTGTGAGTCATATAATGTGTATGTGTACGTTACATAAACATGCTCTAAGCTCTAGGCCTTACAGATCTCACCTTCTCTTCTAATTAGGTTTGAAAGCACTTAACATATTGCTTTGCTTCGCTCCGCAAATAACTGCCTTCACTTGATGAGGCATTGTAGCAGAAAGATTATATAGAATACTATTATCAATAGCATTCCATGCCTCCTTAGCTGCCTCTATTAAAGCTCTTTTGTAGCTACTGTAAGAGCGGATGTAAAAAAGGGGTAAATAGTATGATAAAAGCAGCATTCCGACATAACTGGTTTTGGGTTAGTGATATCTTGGCATCACAGGGGTGGCAAGGGGGGGTTTCAAACTTAATACCTGACACTATATAAATAAAAGCTCATACTTAGATAATTTCTCTATTTTCAGTAGAAAAGATGATTTTATAAAGCAGTAATTATAAATATTATCTGATTTAAAAAATCTGTAGCTATAGGTATAGAAGTCTCTTAATATATATTCAAGGACCTAATGATGCCCGGTGGTGGCTTAGATGTCCTGTTTGGTCCGTTCTTGACGCTCATGGCGCCTATCCCCGGATCCAACGACCCAAGATCTCAACCCCATCACGCAGGGAAGGAGAACGTTCAATACCACGAACCTAGTAGTGAATCCGAAGGCGGACACAGCGATGACGATTTCGCGCCATCTACGAACACCAACAGGTCGGCCACTTGGCAAGAGTAAAGGCAGAAGTCCCAATGCAGATGATGATTTACTTGTTTGGTACGGTCATGTATGAGGGCTCCAACCTCCCAAGCCGAGTCGAAACTGTTAAACAGACGTCTTGGCGTTTGGAATGGGACGTTGGCCCTAAAACATTCAAAATTGGCAGTCCCGACGCCTATGTGAACTAGCATTAGTGAAGGTGCTCTTCTCCAAAAGGGATTTAATGGTGCTAGATGGATGGGGTGAACAGGGTGGTCTGGTATACTGCTCTGTCGAGGTAAGTGTTGCTGACACGATGTCTAGACGAAGGCCCGTTTCACCAATTGGAGTGAGGACGGTTCAACCCCAGAGCAAGCCGTGGCTGTTATGACGCAAGAGGCTTCCTAGCTGATAGAGATGATATGTTAGCGCCTAAGATCTGCTGTGATGATCCTGGAACTGATCTAGCTCCTGTGGACCTTTCGGAATATGACACAACGTAAGAGACTCTTCCCACAAAATATTGGCCCTGCGCCTGTGGTAGTTAACTAAGCCTGGAGAGCTCTCCTAGTAAGGTTGTTCCTTGTCTCGGGAACTTAGCGCAGGGTGTACCTAAAGGTCGCCATATTCAGTCCCGCGTATATTCGCTACTATTTCGCCGACCTCCTGAAGGTGGCAGGCACCGTCCAACCAGAAGGGCAAAAAGGACAGGAAAGATACAACTACCTCGTGAGGATCATAACCCTAAATTCGTGCTTTAGCGAATGAAGACTGACGGAGAAAATCATTACCTAGGATAACATCGCTGAAGATAGGGATGAAAAACGTGAATCATGATCCTGGTCGTCCTGCGGTCCGTATTTTTACTAGCCGCGGATATGATCTTTCTCGACCGGATGTGATTGAGGGGGCAAATATACTCCTTGCGATGGGTGACTACTTGGAGTCCAAAGGACCATTGCTCAAGGATATCGAAAAGAAGTAATAAGTGTGTGGCCTGGGGCTCCAATACTTCAAGTCATAGGAATTTTACAACTAAAAGAGGCCTGCTGGCGGGTCCTCTGGGCAACTAAGATCTCTGACTGTTTATCTCTCCTTTTTTTTTCTTCTTGTTTTCCATCACTGCTCGACTATCAGTCCTTTGTTGACTTATGTGTACCTATAGAGTTCAGTCCCCCCTCATAGCTTCATCAATCAGTTCTATTACCTGTCAAGTTTTGCCCGATGTCGACGCGCCGTGAGAGATTCGGAACTGCATCCTGTTTGAGCAGATGGTTATCCCAGCTTATTGGCCAAAATGCATGGAGTAAGCACAATAGCGCATAGCCATCAGAAGTGGTGGAGGATCTGCACAATCGTTCTAGCTAGCGCTTAATTATGATTGGTGACAAATGTTCTATTCTTGGGCGCTATCGTCATTCCACAAAATGCGAAGGTCGAAAAACGGAAAAGTATTGGTCGAGGAGGGCGGCTTAGGAACAGAGAATCCGAGATTGGTCTTGTGTCTCCAAAACATTGTGTCTCCAAAACATCCGATGCAGGAGAAATTTCCAACTTTAGCACTTCTAAAATAGGTTTAGTAGAGTCCTCCAGGGCGTTAAGATGTTGAGCAGGGGATGTGCCCTCGAACGAGCCGCACATGGGTGCCGGCGGGCCAGATTAGAAGTGGCTAAAGCCACAAATGTTAACATCCACAGGAGAAATGGGGCGCATAATAAATGGCTTACACAGATGGCATTCGCGCAGCACTAATTCTCAGACTAGTGGTTATCTGGGAGTCTCTGGGCTTGCTTCTGTGCCGCAGCAATCAATAGCGCGACCACTTCTGCATATTTCGAGGCGCGTCTCCATCGTATGATTCTCTTCTCCTTCGCTACGTCGGACAAGTCCTTCGTTTCCCACGGATTATAGTCATCATGGTTCCTGCACAAAATAGTGACGATGGGGAAAAAACTGTCTGTCCGGGTATCATTCATAATTGGGGAAGTCGGCCATAATTTTCGCGTTCTGAGATGTATCTTGTGTTGTTTTCCCCCAGTTTTTGCAGGTGAAATGTAGCTTAGGGTGTCTATACAAGGGCCCGCTTCTGTGTAAATGGAAAATTATCAGTTATACATGCGCATTTCAATATGCACTTACCCAAGAAGAATATAAAGATAAAAGAACGAAGAAAGGAGTGCATGGAAGCCTCATACCCATAGCTACTCGTATCCACGATCATACAGGATCCCATATCAAACAGCAGCGGCGCCTTCCTCCATAATCCGAACATGATAACTCACGACGTTGTGGAATCGACCCCCAGCGGCAGAACGTTGCTGCATGACCTCAGCCAAATTTGTATCCGACAGATCACTCACAATAGGACACCCTAAGACATGATCGATGGGGCATTCCATATCCACTCCCTCAACACGTAGCACATCCAAATGCAAGTCGGACAACAATTTCGGGTGACAGTAGAGCGATTTCCTGGTTGTTTTGAGCAAAATTTCGCTGATCGACTCCGGGCCGTTTTCGTGAGGTTTGAACAATCGAATGGGTTCAGCTGGAGGTGGAGAAGTAGGCATCATAGTTTATCCTAAAAAGAGCAAAAGGCTCGCGTGAAGACCCCGAATTTCGAATTTGAATGTCGGGGGTTTTTGTTGAGGATGAACGTGAGAGAGAGGAAACAAAGGGACGACATTAGGATCGATGCATGCCCGCTAGTTAAGACAAAACCGGCTTACCTTACTAAGCGCGGGCGTCCGACGCTAGTTACATAGCGGGATCACAAAAATACAACTGTGCGTGTGGATCGCTCTACGAGTTAGGCTCTAACAGTCTGAGGATCGGAAACTGGATTTGCGAAAATCCTTCCCCTGGACACCGGCCACCCGCATCCTCGTTTTCCTGAGAAAACGAGGGAAAGCTAAGCGCCAGATGCAAAGCCTGGGGTATAACCTGTTTCTGTTAAAAAGAGCTTCTCCTCTAGAGAAGTCGCAGTTCTCTACACTCTTTCGGAGCGTGCTAATTCCCCATCTAACCACAAACGATAATTCCATCTCCACTAGCGTCTATCTAAGATTCCAACCAGCAAACCCAAATACGTTGGTGAGACAGCTATCACCTACCTATTTATGGATGTGTTGGAGAACTCCGAAGACGGTCTTCTACCAAAATCTAGGTAGCAGAGCGGTTGGAGCTTCTATGTCAAACAATTGTCAACTAATCAACTAAGCAGTCAATACATACAATCGATCAGATCAATCGTTCTCACCAAATCTCACCAAATCTCACCAAATCTCACCAAATAGGCCGTATCTTCCAACAGATATACGGTTATGGTGAATGGAAGCTAGTCCGCCCGCTAACTTTGGGGTTCTTCAGCTTGGTTGCCGACAACTTCACCACTGAGATTAGGCGCGGCACCGTTACGTATGACAATGTTGCTGCGTTCCATTTTGCCATTGAGGTTGGCGCCGATGAGAAGATGGTGCGGGAGGTATTCGAGTGGAGCAAGTTGAAGAAGGGTAATGACGACGTTAAGGGGCGCGGATTCAAACTCGTGCGACTCGGCCCAGGCTCTACGGATCCTAACCATGGAATCGGTTCTTCCTTATCTCCGCCGGGCGGTGAGAGAGGCCGAAGGGTTTGTCAAGCCTTATACATGTGTTCTGGCTCTAGTTGAAGGGCAGCGGGGAGCCAAATGCACTGGGGCAGCGCTGGGCTCTCATGGTTGTTATGACTTCGCTGAAGTTATGGTGGTTGAATGTGGGTGGCAGTGCGAATACGACTGTGATAGGCAAGGGGGAAGAGATTCATTACAACCGATCCGTTCCGTAGATAATCTGGGCACAAGGGTGAAGATTTATGTAACATCAATAATGTCGTTTTCACAACTTAGAATCACAACTTGGAATTTCCCTACAGGAGTTGGGTCTGGGTTTTGACAATATCGGTGCTTGAAGGTTTATCAGAGGCAAAAACAGATGACCGCATCACACAGTTAGCTATCTAATGTACAGCACACACTACATTGCAAATCGTCATGATTTCTGCTGGTACGCTATCAGTTCCCCAGATAAACGAAGCCGGTTTCCCCTTCCAGGTCGTTTATCAAAAGCCAAGAGACCAACGTTGAAGCCCAGTCTCAAAACTCAAGGACCCGCAATGCTTTATATCGTGGGGCCATCGTTCATTGTTGAGGGATTGAGAGATGGGTACTCGCTCATCAATAATATTGGAAACAAAGTACATCCTATTGGCGGGGTATGGGGTGAGGCAACAGTTGTACCCAAAAGCATTGAGGCTTCGTGAGAGGATTACAAGCCAATAAATAGCCGGGGAAAGCAAAGTATTCCCTGGCCTCCACGATGCCATGCTCATGAATCTATGAGTCTGAGAGGAATGGCCGGGCACTCGGACATATATACGCTGTGATGAAAAAGATGCGTGGGAAGCACACAAGCGAGAGATCGTGTTAGAGCACTGAGTTGGCTCGCCATTTCATAAGGGTAAGATGAAAGAAGAAGCGCCCAAAGCTGCCACGAAACTTGAAACATATTTTAGCCAATCATCCAAAAAATCTTGTCATATGGTTTAGAAGGGTATCGGAAATAAAAGGGTCGTGGGATGTGGCTATTCCTCGGCTTCAAGCTTGTAAATGAGAGGAGACGGGTTTTTATCCTTTTTGTCTCGTGGAATATATTTGCAGGTAAAGGAAGTAAAAAAACTCTGGAGTAGCATCATTATAAAGACGTGACCATTTTCTATTGGAGAGATGTATGCTAAGCAACGCACAATTCTGCTGATGCAGGATTGTTGCATGGGTAGAATGCATCATCGACACTGAGCAGGCCTTCATATGGGGCAGGCCGGCTCCGTCAGACGCCAGCAAATTGATTCCCCGAACACGATAGAGGAGGATATAGATTTTCTTAGATTGGCTAACTCACCAAGAGTGGTCGCCCCATTATGCCTGTGAGGAGCATATGTATGTATGCACAGCTAAAGTTCCGTAGGCAGTTTTTGCTAGCGTCACCGCCAGAAACTTGTTTGACAAGACCTATCCGAGTCTAATGACCTGTCTTCTGCTTTCATATTCAGCTGGGGTCTCGTAGGCATGATTGGGTGCGAGACGATGAGCCGGAGCCTGTAGAATATTGGCCCCAGTGACGGTGAGAGAATAAGGGAGCAAAAGCTGCAGGCGAGCGTTCTTGGATAAATCAGCCAGCGGGCGATATCTAGCGCTTCGATAGGCTGGACATGGGCGACAACCATTCCCTGCCACAACCACGCTGTTGTTCGGGGCCTTGAGTATAAATGGTTAAATACTAGGCGTGGGCCCTTCCCTTCCCTCCTCCGATATACGCTGTAAGCCGGGGGACACTTCCTTGAAGTTCACAAGTTCCTGGAACTTGGAACTGTTCTTGTTCAGCGGTCCTTGTCAGCCAATCCCATCTTCAGGTTTCACGTTAGGCGTGGAGATCGCGCGGTGCTAAGTCCAAAGCCCCGGGGGCGGAGCTATGATTCAAATATCCCCGTCAAGAGTCTAGCCAGCAGGCTCCATCGAACGCACCTAGGAACTATTGACTGTTTCACGCTGGGGGCGATATTGATTCCAAGCGCCTTGCACACAGGGTGGTCTGTTTTGTTGGGTGTGATGTGTCTGGAAAATTGGCATCATCCCTCGTTAATAGTTTTGGCGTCGGTTTATGGCGTATTAAGTTAAATAAGTCAAAGCGACTCGAGGACGCCCACCCTGCACTGCGCCTGATCCCGCTCTTGTTCCTCTCCTTTCTTTATCAGCGACAACACACTCCACCACAACCAAACCACCATCATTGCCACCAGCAAAACCTGGAACTCCGACTCTCTCCCTATCTCCAACCGATCCAACCGATCCAACCGATCCATAGGACCACTACACTACGGGCCCCCCTAGCCTTAAAACTCGCTAGTATCCAACCCCAGGTCCTTCACGTGCAGGTACACTACATCCAATCTCTTTCATCCCAGCAGACAGCGAGCCAGGTCATCGGACTCTAGCAAGGATAACAGGACCTTTGAGCTCTTTTGGCAACGACAGAATACCGATGACTGTCAGCGAGAAATACTCTTCAACTACCAAATAAGAAAAGTCGTGATTAACTCTATCCAAACCGCCTCCTCTCTTAATTAAACCTTATCCTCTACACTTCTTGACTGGTGAAACCTTAGTTGAGGGCTCACCGGATCGGATCACGACTTACCGACGGAACCTTAGGATCCCGCGATATATCAGATTACGGTTTCTAAATATCTGGAGGTCGTGAAAGAATCACAAGAAATTTATTCTCTACGAACAGTTAGGGGTTGAAGGGAGACAGAAGGTTCCCGGAAATAGCAGGAGCCGCGGAACCTACTGGGATCTCCCAGCGGTCAACCTCTCAACTACCGCCGTCTGAACTGGGAACTACTGCGATGAAGTGAACCGGACAGTTAGCTCGGTCTCAACCTTGGAAGCTTGTTGTCTAAAATAAGGTTAACTCGGTCTAATAAGCTTACTTCATATCAACTACTTCATAAATCATCCTTCCGCGCCGCCCTCGCTCATTTTACCTTCTTCCTATTCTTCTTATTCGTCTATTGTGAACGACCATATCGTACAGAGCACCTACACCCAACATGCATCCGCCTTTGCTGCCTGAACTTGTGTACAAAGCCATCTTCCCAAAACCCCGTATGAACGAACCCGCTACATTTGCGGCCCTTATCAGCAGACATCTTGTTCCTGAGGTTCGCATCGAGACGTCGACCTTCTATGGCCCCATTGACTGTGTTGAAGCCCAGTATCCTGGGCTCGATTATTCCTTTCCCCCGCACCGAATGAGGCTGGGTCGTTTCACATGGCATCAGAAATTATTCAAAGCCTTCGACGAACTAGGATTGACGGAAGCTGAAATCGCTTCGCTTTGTAGTTGGGAGGGTACAAAGTCTGCCAGGGATCGTTACGAAGAGAATAACTCTGTCCAGGTTAGGGATACTACGGCGGACAGCATTAGAGCAGCCACCCCGCCAATACCACCGTCGGTCTATATACATACCTATGAAAATGTTAACCTCCAAAAGTCGCAACCTCTGGATCTGGAGAGCGAAAACGGACTTCAGGAGTTGGAACTCAAATCAGAGCTTCAGAGCGGGCAAGAAGATGAGGACGAATCTAGTGATGACGATGATGAGATGGAAAGTTATGGGGTTATGTTAAATCAACGCCTAATTCAAGCAGCGGAAGCACGACAACGAGGAGCGAATGTTCCCCTTGATGAGGACTGGGAGCAGTGGCTGAAGGAAGCCTCTGAACAGAATGCATATATAGGAATGCTTCATGCAATTCGATCTGGCCGGCCGCTGAACGTGTCCTTTAGCAACATGCCTTTGCACCCGTCTTCGTCATCGTCAACCACCACGCCTGGTGCTCGCAGCCATAGGACCAGCTCGAGCAATACCAGGCAGAGGCCCGTTTCGATGTCAAATAGACGTGCCGCTCCCGGATCTGCGGTAATGGGACCCACCATCGGATCCAGGTCCGCTGTTGGCTCGTCGTCAAATTCCACCTCGGAAGCTGCGAGATAGCTTCAAATGATAAGCCCTCATAGCTGTTTACGATATTAATTATCATCCTAATTCCTGCAGAAATTATCCTATTGGACTCTCCTCCCAACACTGCCTTCTAAATACTCACTGTTTGCTAGAGCTGGGCGCATGGCTCAGTTCATTTTCTTTACACTGTGTGATGCATTTTTCTGGTGCGTACTTTGCGTCGTTGGCGTATGTCTCTTTATTTCATTGTCGGGATGGCGTTAATACTGGTGGAACATAATGGCGTGTCTGCGTCGTTTCTTCGATCTCGCGTCTTTCTAGCAGGTGTTTCTGCAAATAGATTTCTTATCGTTTTCTTCCATTTTTTCGAGCTACTCAGCGATGTTCATGTCCTTTTTCTAGATACGATTCTTTTTTATGATGTTCCCCCCCTAGCCTTTCCTTATCTTTCAGCTCTTTATCCAGCTACGCAGTGCTTTGTTAATTGAGCCGATCAGCGGCTTCCCCCTGGTGTTCACTTGAGCGGATGGAATAGCGCATTTGAAACGGTCAATTGATACTTTGTTAATGAAGGGTTTGGGTTATTTTATTTTTCGTTCTCTTCCTGTGCATCATGCTTTTGTTCAAGAGAGCATTCATCCATATTTCTCTTACTCAGTTGTGGGCTATTTATTTAATAATAGTATCAAGCAGTTGTCACCTTCTGTTTAAAGAATTACTATAACTACTGAATTTCTTTGGTTTTAACCAAATGAAGTACTATTACATCTGAACTCCTTTTTAAATATAGTTGGCGTTGCATTGGGCTTAATTGTATTATTGGTTGGTCCCACCACACACACACCCACAGGTCCTGTTGAAGCTAGCATGTGACTTGGGAGCTTGAGCTTCGCTCCTCCATCGTCAAAACACCCGAAGGCGCGCGCCCTCGACAAACGATAGGGTTTGTATGATGTATCTGAATGGCGCAACAAAGCACAGGATCAGCTAGGCGACCATGGATAGGCTAAGCAATTGTGCTGTCTATTATTGTCTAACTAATGACGACCGCGCCAAATCCCGAGGATATGGTACTTGCACCTAGTATTCAAGGCTATATATTTGTCCGCATTGAACGAAAATGATCAAGGCAATATTCTATAGCAAGTTCGACACCCAGGAAGGTAAGAGACCGACCTTATATCTCACTACGTAACTAGCAAGCTCCACGCGTACGTTTTATGCTGTAACTCGAAGCTAATAGGCATCTTCTCTATCCAGGCCCAAAGGTCGTTCACCAGGTTCCTGATGGAGCCATCGTGCCGTCCCCAACAGCACCTCCGAACCAACCTCCCCTGATTACTTTCTCTGATATATCCTTCTTCGTGATTCCGCGACAGGAACTATGCGGCAATCTAATCCACGTCTGTTCTGGTGGTTATCGCATCGTTGGCTCCCCCGTGTGCATGACCTCCCCGAAATACGATCGAAATGAGTTTATATTCAACTTCTGCATCGTGCTGGCGGAAGATGAGGAATTTGGCACTTTCAAAAGCGTTGTGCAGAAGCTGGCGCATCTAATGTGTGGGCTAGAAGAGCAGTCTGGATTTTTGTCAAAGGATCTCTCGAAGGGCGGAGAAGGGAAGGTTTACAGTCTGTGTGAGACGTTGATGGAGGATTTGAATAATTATTGCGAGTGTATGATTCCAATTGGTATGTTGTCTTATCTGTATTCTTGAAGGATTTGCCTCCCTCGTTTTTGAACAGTTTGTTTTACCCCCGTGGTAAGTGCGATTGTTAACTGACACCCTCGGTCAGATGAACTCAACACTCTGAATATCAAGTTATTCCCTATTTATCCCTCACCACCTATGGTGAAAGCCTGGCATGTACCACTATTCACGGTTCGATATGAGGCCTTTGTGGATGAAAACTGGGATCTGACAATGCTAAGAGTAAGTTTGGTCGCAGTCGGACCTGCGTGAGCCGGACTTTTGATTTATATGGGAAAACCATTCTTACTCATTCTCTAGATCGTACCTTTTATCAACGGGGTTAACAGCGTTCGCATAATTTCGGCGCTTGCAGATACGGACTTTTCTTTGACATGCAGCGCGATCCGACATTTGATCTACTACGGCTGCATATTTCTCCTAGATATCTTCTCCTTTACGGCAATATATGCCCCAACTGCTCAGTTCGGTTCAACCATCGCAGTGGACGAAGACATGCAGCGTGAATGCGCACGATATGTAAATACTCGTTTCGCTCCCACCCCAAGCATAACTGCACCACCAACAGTGACCGCATCCACCCAATCTACCGTATCATCCAGTTCACGGAGCAGATCGAAGGGGCGTAGAGATGACCATGTGGACCATGATGATATATGGCCTTTGGTCGCCAACTCGGGGACTGCCTCCCGTGACCCCGCCGGCCAGCGCGCCAGTATCGTTGACGGGGTCGGACTAATTGAGCTTTACGCCAGTCTTAGACAGGGAAAGACTGTCAAACAGTGGTATATCGAACACAGCCGCGAACTTGCCAACATTGATTTAAGACGCTTCATAACATTTGGCGTCATAAAGGGTTTCCTGTATCGTGTTCATAAATACGCCTTTGCAACCGGATATCTAGCACAACCAGCAAGACAACACCGGCATGGTCTTGTGCTGTCATCGTCCTCCTCATCATTTTCCCAAAAGAATCAGAGTGAATCTGTCGCCAGTGGCGGTTCTGATTTAGGAGGAGCAGGAGAAGGTGGAGGGGGGAGAGGACGTCGTTTGTCCACGTGGAGTCGTCGGTCAATTAGCTCGCGGGACGGGAGTGATGTGACGGCGTTTTCGACTACTTCGTATACCAACGACGACAACGCCGTTGACGATGATAGGGACGATGATTACGCTTTGGGAGGCGAAGAGGAGGCCCTGATTGACGATAAGACGCTGGGAAAGTATCTTGATGGCGCCCATTGCTTCGATCAGATATGCACGGAGCTAGAAATCAGTGAGAAAGAACTTACCGATCGGCTGAAGTCGTATCCGTTTGAGGTACAGATTATTGATCGGTAGATTGGATAATTTATGATGTACGTTGTTGCTGTTTTCCCGGATCTGGAACCGTGCGCGGAATGCCTGTGCTTTACTTGGATGATTTATATAACTGCAATCAATATACCCATATCCTCTTACGTAGATAATGTTAGAGAAAAGTCCACTTCTTGCACTTCTTGACACGGTGGATACATCCCGTTTTCTCCTTAACTCCTCAGAATCAGACGTTATGATGGGAGTGAAGGCAGCAAAAATTGGACTCGGTGAACGTTGGGATGAGTTCATTGAATCAGTGATGATTCCTGAATTTTTTTTTAAAAAAAAAGAAAAAAAGCCAGACGCACATTTACATCCTCCCAATAGTTCTTTCCCCCTTATTTGACAGCGCGCCCAAACCCCTTTCCGTCCTAAAACCTTGCCCTGAAGACGCCTACACCGGGTAAAATCCTACAAAAACCCAGAAAATAGAGAGCAGGATATCACGAACAAAAACTGAAACCATTCCCAATCCACAAACCACCCCCCCAAAAAGCAATAGGAAATTTGGATAATACCGTGGAATAGAAGAAAAGGATAGAAACAAAAAGATTTGTTTGGTGGTGGTCTATTCTTGCTCCTCGTCCCAACCCTCCAACTCCGCTTTCTCGTACTCCTCCATGAGCGCAGGGTCAAAGATACTCTCGTCTTTTCCAGGCACTGTCGTTTTGCAATCTTTGAACACAGGACCGATGCAATCAGCCCACCGCTTCCGACGATCCATCAGCGTGCGGGCCACATCGCCAATTCCTGGCCTGCTTACACCCGCTCCCGAAGCATTGGGCGCCACAAGATGGCTACCCCCGCCCGCACCGCCAGGTCTATGCTTAGCCTGCGAGCCCTTCTTGCTTTTGCCAAGCGTGCGCGTGCGTTTAAGGTATGCCTGTTGGACTTGAGAATCCAGGTCGTCGTGGATCGTGCTGTACTCTTGATAAGCAAGGCGTTCGCGGGCGATTTCAAGGAGCCGGGCCTTGCGGGCACCATTGACAATCATTTGCTTCTTCAATTCTGCCTGTAAGAGACGTAGGCGTTCCGCGATGTCATCGTCGTAGTGTGCGTCGTAGTCTGGGTTATCATCCTGGCCAAAAATCCCAACGTAGCGAAGTTCAGCTTTCAGTCGTTCGTCCAGCTGTCCGTGTTCGAGCTTGGCGGCTGGTACCTTGAAACCATTCGGGGACGCATCCACGAAGGTTGTCGCAGAGTTAAACGGTTTCGTATCAGACTCTGCACCACCCACAAGGTTGTCTAAATCCATTGTGTCTCCATTCACTGTGGGGTTCGTATTGGCATCCTCATTGTTAGTAATAGATCCCGCCGTGTTTTCCTCCGGTAGAGTGCGATGTTCGAAACGAAGCAGGGAGTATAGACGGCTGACGAGGGGAGGTGCAGAGATTTGTTCTGTTTCTGCAGTTTCATCTGTCATCTGTTCAATGCTTCCACGGCCTTGGTTTAGGGGAAGCTGCTCTCGTTCTTGAGTAGAAGAATCAACGTTGATTGACCCGTCCTCCTCAGCCCAGATTTCAGTGTAGTGTTTTTTGTTTCGACGCGGTAAGAGGAAAGGAGTCGTGCGGTCACCCTGTGTGGGAGGAGTTAGCTTGTAGTTGCAGAGATTTCCACCCAAAATGATCGACTTACCCTCTCCTTAAGAAACGCAATGTCCTCCTCCGTTAGCGGACGAACATACGGTTCAATATAGGTGGCGAATGTGTTGGCGCTGACTTGATTGGTAGGCTTTGCATTACTGAAATCTTTGTCTGGAGGAGTTCCCGTCATCATATGGCTGAGATCACTCTTTGGGAACTGTGCGACACTGTAAATCTTCCGTTTCTCGTCGTCTGTCATTCCTGGGGTAACGTCTCGGATATGATAGATAGTGGGATCATCAAATGTGAGGGGATCAGGCCCAAACACTTGATATTGTGGAATAGATGGCGCCGGCTCCGGCTGGTGAGAATCTGAACTATCCATGGACTCGGGCGAACCCGCAGTTGAGAGCTGATCTCCAGGGCCAGTGGGCGCTGGAGACGGTGTGGGCGACAGCGAGGAAGTACTGGACACGATATTTTTTGACTTCTTGGAAGGAATTGAAGCTGTATTAAGCGAGTCTTTCGCACCGCGGCGATGTGGAACTATTCTATCTGTTAGATTCAAATCACCACAAAATAGGATGCAAAAATGTTTAAGGTGAGACAAAGGTGAATGAAAATAAACAGTGTCATTGCTGTTATTGGCAGCCAGAAGTGAAACAAAATGCTAGTTGCGGCAAGCGATATAACAAAATGGAATGCTTACTATCTGTTTTCAAATCTGTTCCATCCTGCTTGACTACAGCATGAGCTCCGTGTGATAGCGGTCTATCCTCTTTGACAGTCCCTCTATCCTTTCTCCTTTTCAGCTTCCCCCCTTTGGAGGATCGCCCCGCATCGTCGTCATCGTCTGCCTCTCTCTTCATTCTCAATCGTTCGTCTGCATCTCGATTAAATTGCTCGCGCTCCCTCAGTTCCTCAAGGGCTTCTTTTCGTTTCTGTGATATCTCTCGTATTCCAGCATTGCATGCTTCGCCTCTTGCCTCAGCAAGCTGGCTGAGGGTTTTGAGATGCTCCACTAAGGACTCAAGCGCTCTTGGCTCGGGAATCTGGCCGCTTCCACCCAACTTATCAAGGATATCGGAATACTGCACTGTCGTTGGCACGAGCATTTTTGAAATATCATTGTCCAGAGAGCCCAGCCCGGTGACGGTATTAGTGCTAGCAGAGCTAGGAGTTGTGTTGCGGCTTCGGGATCTCCTAACTTCACGGCCCTTCCCTTTACTCTTATTTGCGAGTGGCGGAGGCATGCTCGATGATACCTCTTGGAGGTTTGAATGCCCGGATGACGGGGCGGCAGTGCAAGGTGGGAACTGGGTGGGTATAGTATGTAATTTTCCCAGGAAAACCAATGATTACTATATCATCTATCTATAGAGGATACCCGGGGTGACCAAATTAGCATGGGCATCAACTTCCAAGGATTTCTACACAGCGCAACACGAGAAGGGGAAGATCAAACTTTTGGGTGGGAAAATTCCCCAAGGCCTGGAGCCAACTTACAGGTGTTTGGCGCAGGTCGCTTAACACTTTTCAGGTGATCCGGCGGTTTAATTTCCCTTTGGATGCCGTGTGCACTTCATATTCACCCTCTCGCCATGTCTCTTGCGCCGCAGGTCTGAAGTCGAAGTCGCGATCAACTGAGGTCATTGATATCACATGACTGGACTCCACAGTGTCGATATGCCAAGACATTTTCAGGTGTTGGTTCTCTAATCTCTTTTGGAATAGCGCGAAATGGCTCCAGGAAAGCCGCGGTTGTTTTATCTTGGCTAAATAATACAGCGTAAATCAATAATATATAATATGATTTTATAGGCATAACTATATACTAAGAACAACCTTTTTAGAGAATGCATTCAATTGATTCTTTTATTACTCCACAGGTGTTGTTGTGAATGCAGAAATAACTTATTGAGTTAAGTGAAAATGTGAACAATGGTTAGAAGAGAATGCGATTTGAATTTCTACCCATGATGAGGCTTAACAGACAGCGCTACACGCTGTTTACCGGATTGGATGACTTGACATTTGATATTGTTAGTGCCACAACTCAAGTTGTCATACGGAGTACATGTCGGGTTTGACAGTTGATCCATTAGCATGCCATTTAACATTCTAGATCGAGATTTTATGGGTCGTATTTCGGTGTTCAAAAGAGCTAGACAGACAATCTTCTTACTCTTTTCTCCAGAGTTGCAAGGCCTGTATCCCCACGCAGACAAACCACTCCTACACCAGGCTTCTACTCGCGACGTTACTCTAATGTTTATCCTAGCAGGCCCTTCACACTGCGCTCATCAGTGTCTTTATTGATGATCCCCTTCCAACAGCGTAAACTATTGTTTGATACTTAGTATGCACATAAAGCCCAACGTTTTTCCCACTTGCTGAATACTTCATGGACAAGTGCGCATTGTCTTCTATATCTCGAAAACCGGGAATAGTTCGAATCTACTAGGCTCGACTGTTATTCGCTGCATGAACACTTGCTCAACGAGTGATTGACAGGAGAGTCCCATTTTTTCACGTCTCAAAAAGTTGGTTACATGGTGTTCTTTGCCCCGCTGGCGGTATGTTGCCGACTGCTCAAATAATACCACTGGTCTCACCGGATATCTGCTAGGTGGTGCACATGTTGGCTCTCGTTCGGCCTGCTAACGGGAGCAGAAATCCGGAATATTTTCGGCTGTAATTCGCATATATTCTGTCTGGGTATGAAAATTGGGGTGTATCTATCGCGCGACACGCCTGGGGGGATCCAATAAGCCCTATGATAATCACCTCCTCCAAGTCGCATGGCAGGAGGTGCATATAAACTCCGAGGATCCCATTGTGGTCACTGTAACCGCGGGCTAGACAGATTCTTTGCCACCTAGGGTTCTGAGATATTATTCGCAGGAGAACTATGGATGAAGTCCCATAGTGATCATTGCCCTGAGTAACTTGACGAAGCTCATGGTTATATTTATTTACGGGAAGAAGACGAATAAATATTGGCCGAGCCGAGAAAAGAAAAGGTGCACCGCTTCGCTTTACTCTAATTTAGACTCTTGCGCAGAGGGACTGGAGATAGAATGCCCCCCCCCCAGCCGACACGGCGCCGCACAGATGCGGAGAGGATGCGGACAGATGAAGCTAGCAGGTGGGGCTCGGTGGCTTTTAGCCAGAGCTTGGGACGAGGTGAACGACAGGGCAGCTGACTCGCCAGACGAAACACTCATGTCACAACCTGGGCGACAGCAATGATAGCGAGCCGTTGCCAATAGCTTCATGATCCTGGAGACAAGACTTTAGACAAAGTCCACCCTTGCCAAATACGATCCCGGAGCAAAACCCGTCTCGCCCGCGTTGCCAACTTCTCCGAGAAAAAAACCTCCGACCTAACGCAGTAGGGAGACCCGCTGTTGGATGTCGCATTTCGGCCCTCCACTCCCGTCCGGTCTCAAAAGCGAAATGACTGCCAGAGCACTGCATGTTTTTATCTGTCCCGTAGTTAAATAATGCGTTTATGTATGTCAGTTACGCCAGCCATTATTGTATTCATTCTTTTGTGCGCATCGCAATAATAGCCACCAATGTCCCCCTCCTGACTGCAACAATACTCTCTTGCTTCTCGTGATCGTTATGAGATACATTGCTGAGTTTGATTCTTAATACGTGCTTTCATTGACATCGGGATCCTGCGGGGTTTTTTTTGCAAAGCATGGGTACGATTTTCCCCGTTGGAGGCAAATCAACGTATGATTTTGGAAGATCTGAAAAGGTCCCTCCGAAGTCGCCTTTGTGGAGTCCAAGCTCTTTTTTGGAAAAAGTGTTTGGACAGCTTTTGCTAATGTTTCGTTATAGCTGCAAACGCTTTCGATGCTGTGGTCCACGCTATTCCGTCAGAGGGTTCATCCTTAACGAGGCCGGTGCCTGTAGATGTGAGAATATTCTACTCCAATCCAACCATTACAGCCACCCTCTATAGTTAGGTACTAATACTACTACCTACTACAACCCTACAGTCCAGCATCTCCTTTGAGCTCAGCATAGGTGATAAGATCCAGACCCTATCAACAACGAATGTTAGAAATGGAGACGCGATCCGAGGCTTGCTCTACGTCCCGGAGCTGGATTTCGAGGACCCGTGCCGGCAGGCAACAACTCCTTTCATACTAGCCAACGTAACTCGCCTCTCTGATATTCCAGGTCCAAGGAGGTCAATATCTCTTGCTCCTTGGGTCTCTTCTGCATGCACAATATCTTTCTTGGCAGCGCTGTCGCGAAATCCGCCCTACGCAGCGGTTTTCTACCGGCCAGATGAATCGACTACTACTCCTCCTCTCGCCGATCACCCGACCTGGGATCTAGGGGACCGCGATATGTGGAAGACTACGAATCGCTACCCTGTTTATGCGATCCCTGGCGTGTACGGTGCCAGTGTGATGCGTGCTCTGAGCGAGTACTCAGGGAGTGTTGCTGACGCCCCATACGCAGAAGACCTTCTGAGAAGGTTCCAGGGCAGTGACGTGGTTCGGGTGTCTTCGAAAATTGCTATAAGTAGTACGGGTTCCCCATCCTCCGAACTTTTAGGAATTTGGCTGACCTTTTCATATAGAAAACTCCACCGGTGGCCTCCCAAGCCTTTGGATTTTCCTCTTGGTCGTTGTAGCGATTCTAATTTGTATTGCTCTCTTCTCGTCCATCGCCATGCGGTGTATTCAAGCGCGCCAACTGCGTTCCTTGGAAAGGAGAGTCGCGGCGGGAGAAGTTGATCTAGAGACTCTGGGTATTAAGCGGTTAAACGTCCCACAAGATATTCTAGATAAAATGCCTCTCTATATCTGTAATGGGTCAGGTAGAATTGAACGTTTGATCCCTCCTACTACAGAAATGACCCCAGAATCTATCGACGAACCGTCCAAATTACCACCAGATAAAGGAAGTTTTCTTCAATCGATTTCGGGCTGGAAGTGGATATCAAGGGTATCGCAAGCCTTCTATTCTCGTAAATCACGATCTACAACACCGCCTCCGCCTCTCTCTTCTGCCCCGGACTCTGGGACTTCCCTTCCTTCTCCAAGATCGCAGACCACGCCCATCGATAACAACCAACAACACCATGCCGAACCTACTTTCGCACAAACAACTTGTCCAATTTGCCTCGACGACTACGACTGGGGCGAAACCACAGTCCGTGAACTTCCCTGCCAACATATTTTCCATCCCGAATGTATCGATAATTTCCTCCTGCAGAATAGTAGCCTTTGCCCAGTTTGCAAGAAAAGTGTATTGCCCCGTGGATATTGCCCCGAGAAAATTACCCGTGTTATGGTTCGTCAGGAACGACTCGCTCGAAGGGCTCGTCCACCACAAACGATAGAGATTGGCAATGGTGGTTATGACGCTGCAATGCCTACTTCCTTGGGCAACGGAAACCAGTCACCCCAGAACAGAGTAAGTGAGAATCGTGGCGGTTTCCGAAATTCCGTTGTTGATGCACTAAGGCAGTCGAGAACCGGCCCCCAGGCCACAGTTTCACCTCCGACAGGTGAAAGATTCTCAAGGCAGCGGCAAGAAGAAATGCGCATGAGAGCTGTGGCGATGCTCGGCTACCGACCCATGATTGCAGATGAGGAGAGAGCGCAAGACGCTTCTCGGTCAAAATGTAAGCCTATCTAAATCCTCACAACTGATAATTTTATCGCTATCTCTGCTTGGGGCCTTCATCCACCCGCGCTAATGAATTCATGCTCACGCATTTTTTTTGGTAGTGCGCAAACTCCTACAAATACTATTTCCAATAGTTCGATAGGCTGGATGCCAACGTACTTTTACCGACCCTGACCCTGCCTATGATTAACCTGCCTAACGAATTATGATTGACATTCTAGTTCCATTTTGCATATAACTATGGCCTGGTCTACAGAGCTGTTAAGCGTGATACCCACCAAATTTTTGCTAAATCTTGATGATAGTTGAATCCCTCGGGCATCATTGATATGACCTGCTCTTATATATACTGCAAGACACTGTTACTTATTGCATTCATTATTTTTACAACCGCCCCCGACACGTTCCAGTCGCCAGTCGCCAGCCAACATGCCTAACTTTTCTCCTTCTCTCTTTTTCCTTCCTTTTCACCTTTCACTCTGCAGCATGTCCTGAGACTGTACCCTTCTATGCACTTTTTCAACCATCTCACGCATATACTGAATTATTAAACCCCAAGATGTCAGATGGGGACGGAAGTGAAACTTCTAGACGCACAAGCGCCGTAATTGGGTTTTCATTTATTTGTTTATTAATATATAGATATTTTGAGATATTTTGGTACTTCTTGGGAAGTATATATGTACCTGGGGGAAGATAATGTATACTTTGTTTTCTTGTGGGAATTTCATCATCCATTGCTGTTGAGTCACATTTTTTAACCCAGATAAAGAGTAGGGGGTACGCGGCCTCCCCCGAACCTATAATGCTTCTAATAACTAAACCCATTGGGCCAAGAATTATCATATGGCTACCGTATAGGAGATTTAGTTAAGATCTTCAAAAGGGCCCACGTCAAAACATTCTCTCTAGCCGCCATAATATGCATTTTAGGTACAATTTCCTCCCGCCTCGGTTACAGGGCCGATAGAAGTTAGAAGTCGAATCGAATCCCACGGCATGGGATACCATACAGGGCTGGTATGGTAGCCAAATCCAGTGTTCATGTTTGGAGCGTATAATAGCATGTCAATGTATGTACAAACAGACAGACATCCAAGTTCCAGGTCAATCTGACTGAGCGAATGGGGAAGTGATTATGTTCTCTCGAGGTCTCTTTCAAGAAAAGTCGCCACAGAGTGGATCTCTCAATTTCGTTTAAGGGGCGAGAAACACGAGAACGTCTGGTTAATCAAAGCGCGGTTTGTACGATACAGTGTTGGGAGGCTAAAACCTGCATCACGAGGCAAATTTATCGTGTTTTCCCTTAACCCTAGCATTCAAGATTTCTTCATGGTAGGAGCCTTCCTTTCTCGCCCTTTTCAGCCGTTTCACTTCGTGGTCTTCCAGTTTCCTCCCCACCGCAGCTTCCAATTCCTTGCGGCTGATTTTCTCCAATGCCTTGGACTCTTTGGATGCCTTTAGTTTTGGCTTGAAACGCGCCTGCATGCGGACGCGGCATGTAGTAGTGAATGAGATACTGGATGCATCGCCACGGATCTCGACTGCTGACGCAGGCGTAGATGCGGAAGTGCCGCGAGGTTCCTTTATGGAGAGGAAGGCTTCTCTATCGCCACCTGCTACTTGGAAGGAGAATGTACCAGGCAAGTCCGGTGAGGGTATTGGGACAAAAGATTCGTAAGCCGATACGGCGGGAGCGTTTGCGCTTAAGATTCCATATTTATCGCAACTTAAATATCTATAAACCTCTTCAGTGATTAGCCAAAAGATTCCAGGACGATGAAGCTTCAGAATAATTGCATCAAAAATCCGGGAATAACTTACCGCCCATGATGTCCTTTGAAATTGATACCTTCAGCGCCCGCGACTCTCGTAGCAACCCACACTTGTCGCACGTCATGCGGCTCCGCCGTGGCGGGGTCTCCCTCTATGAGGTTTTCAATTTCAAGAGCAAACACTTTCCCGTTGCCATCGCATGAGATGCACGTGGGCGGGCTCGAGGGTAAAACAATGACGACTGGGCCTAGTATGTCTGTCGGTGAGTCTGCGGAAACCCAATTTTGGTCCTCCTCGGCGGCAGAGACGTCTTCAGGATTCTCCTTGGAGTTGCTTAAAGGATCAGGCCGCCCTGCAAGAGATTGGTCATCCGTTTCGGTCTGGGGACGCTTGCGCTTCTTACGCTTTTTATCACCCTTGAAGGTTAGTGGTTTAACCATCGTATCGTTTTATTCACCCTCCGTTTGTTGTATACGATCCATCACAAGACTAGACCCTGAGCCAGTGACGATGATAATTATGATGGATACTCGGAGACCAAACCCCAACTGGAAGCTGCTAGCCACTAACCCATTTAGACTTAGGCGATTTCTTTACATGAGAAGCTCGGACCATGAGCTCTGCGGCTGACAAACCTTATCGCAACCCCGCCTGCTATTTTTGGATGTGCCTGAATCGAGACCTTGGAAATACTCACTCTACCTCAACGAATGTCGATTTTATACCCGATTGTCCCACACTGAGAAGAAATAAATAGGCTGATGGATTGTCGCCTTTAACACCTGTTACCACTGACCTCATATTCCAAGAAGCCTACGCAACTCAACGGCAATTGACGCGTAGTACAAGGTAGAGATCATAGAGCAATTTGCAGTCGGAAGCTTTCAAGGCCCATATTGTGCACCCACCTGTACTACGGTACGCGCTTTTACGGAGTGGTGGATACCTTACCAATTCGAAAATGTAAGTTAATATATCCAGAACAAATGTCTGATATCACGTGCTACCTTCAAATATGATAAGCAAATAAGTATATAGGAGGAGGTTCGCTTTTGGGACAAAGAAACGAAAATTACAAAAGCACGTCGCAGACCATATCCCTTCCGCAGTTGGTTAAGTTAAAAGAAGTCTGAGTTAACGTGGGAAATTGTATGGATCCATGATCACCGGTATCCACCTTTCACATGTTGCCGTGCGTATAGTTTTCATTCACTCATAATAATTTCCATCTTCATTCTCTTTCTAACTTGATTAAGTTACGGGCCGGGTCGGCATCATTGCTCGCAGGCAGTCGATGCCGGGGCATCGATGAGCATCTTCAACGTGTGGATACACCCCTAACATACCAACTAGGGATGTGATACAAGAACATGAACAAAACTATGGTGATGGTAATTGGGCATCCCACACACGAACCAGGCCTAGTAGCCCCCATTACCCTAGTTTTTATGCCCAAGGTCCTCAATTGCGGGCATATTTAAAGGGCTGAGGGCAGACATCAGTAAATGCTTTCCCAATTATCAGATTGATTAAATGTGCGTGAGGAATAACCATTTGTCGAAGATATACTTATGATCACTTTAAAATCGATCATTCTACTAATGTCCATGTTACTTTTGAAAAATATTATTTACCCGCCCGACCTATATTCAATATCCAAAGAACTTCACCTATGAACCGCACTGACCAAAAACAAATTCAAATTAAAAAAAATAAAAATAAAAATAAAATAAAAATAAACAACAAAATGCGCAGCCAGGGATATATCCTAATCGAATGTGATAGCAGCCTTAATGGCAGACTTATTCCTCATTGCCTCCAAGCACTCAGCCCACTGTTCGAGCTTGAAAACCTTGTTTACAATTCCGTCAACTCTAACCTTGCCGGAATCAAGGTAATCGATGGCAGCGGGGAACTTGTAAGTTTCACTGAAGCTTCCAAGAATGGTGATTTCGTCGCCGACTGAAGGAGGAAGGAGAAGTCAGCCAAGTACTAACGAAGCTAGGTGCTACATATCAAAATTGGGATGGGGAAAGGAACGGATGACATACAGATCTTTGATGGTGGCCACGAAACGCGGTCGGCGTTAGCATAGACACCGTACACAACAAGCTTACCACCTCGGCGGCAGTAGTTGATGGCATCCTCTAGAATCTTCACGCTGCCAGTGGCCTCGATGACAATGTCGAATCCGTATGGGTTATCCGCCTTCAATTTGGCGAACTGCGCGCTAGGATCTTTACGGGAGAGCTCGACATATTCGTCACCAGCGTTGAGAGTCTTAGCCAGATTCATTTTGAGGCCCTCGGGAGCAGCAATGACGACTTTGCAACCGCCGTTTAGTTTGAGCATTTGCGCAAGAACCTAGCAGGATGGCGTATGTGAGAAAATAGGCGAACGAAACGGATGGGAATTTCCTCGAACGTAGGTGAAGACTTACAAGACCAGTGGGACCAGCGCCAAACATGAGGACTGTCGAGCCCATCTTGGGGGCAATCTTATCGAGGCCATGCGCAGCGCATGATGCCGGCTCAAGCAATGTGGCGTCGACATCAGAAAGGTTCTTGATCTTAAATACCCGGCCGGCTACAAAGACCCAGAAATGTCAGGAACCATTTTCCCATTTTAAACGACTGGGCCTGGGCTGGTTGGGAACTTTGTCTTACCAGGATAAGCACAGTATTCAGCGAAACCTCCGTTCATCGTCACACCGTGGGCTTCGAAGTGCTCGCAGAGAAGCTCCTCTCCCCGCCGGCAGTAGAAGCACTCTCCGCAGAGCTCCGAGTTGTCGGCGACGACACGTTCACCAACGGTAAAACCCTTGACCTTGGGGCCGAAAGCAGCAACAACACCAACGGTTTCATGGCCTAGTTTACAGATTTAGTATTCAAATCCAAGAGTTCGTGTGAGCGAAGGGTTGCATCATACCAGGGACCAGTGGGAACTATGGATGTTACCTAGATTAGCTTCTAGTACAATGACGGAACATATTTCAGATCCCAAAAACAAGGGAGGGTTCTGAGCCTACCTTTGCCAGGAATTCTCCGTCGTGGATATGGAGGTCTGTGCCGCAGACACCGCAGGCCTTGACTTTAATCTATAAATTGCAAAGTCAGAAGGCATTCAACACGATAAACAAGACATGTCTAGCGCAATGAGAGGGATCTCGCAAGAGGCCTCCTACCAAGACATCATTCTCACGGAGAGTTGGGACAGGAATATTGACAATTCCGAACTCCCTTGGCTTGGAGTACCTAAACGCAAAAATAATCACAGATGGTCAGCAAGGGACAAAGAAAGATGGAAGAACTTTCTAATCGCATCCCATATTCTTCTCAAAGACATCCAGGATTTGGATATTTTACTGCGTGGGCAGATGCAAATGGCGGTATACTGACTGGAGAGCCTTCATAGTCTTGGGGATTTGGGCGGCCATTCTGTTCGAGAGGGAAGTTCACTGCTTAATATCTGGGTCCAGTTTATGGGTTAGTCGCAACGTTCATCAATTGTCACCAATTGGGGTAAGTTGAGTCCTTCCAGGCATACCTAAGGATTTAGGGATGTGAGATGACGAGGAGTGGAATATGGGAGGAATGGAAAATAGAAAAAGGGGAAGAGAGGGAAGCAGAGGAGGAATGAGGGAGGTTTTTGAAGAAAGCAACGGTGAGTAATGGTACGAAAGGATCTTCCCGAAGTCTAACTGACATCGTCTCATCATGGATCATGGCGGGGCCAACGGAGTGGATTGTGGGAGGGTCGAGGTCCACTGCGGCGCGTCACCAAGTAAGTTAACTTTTAACCCTAAAAGAATATTACCAGAACCAGGCAAACTTTATCCGATGTGACCAAGTATCTCCGTCCTAGTACTCCGTACGGAGTACAGAGACTCAGCATACCTTCTTACACCTGGTGAGCGACTTTTCAAATATTAATTAGCTCGAAGCCTAGGGTAAGTTGATAACTTACATTAATAATATAATAATTGTTACCTCTATCCCCTGTACCTGACGTCGAGACTTCCGCCTGGTCTGGTACGAACAACTCGAACCAATTTTGACCTTTTGAAAGTTGGCTTTGCTCATGGTTTACTCCCCATGAATAACATACGAATGCCCCGTCTGCTTCTCCACCGACTATCAAAGTCTACATGGGACGAGAGGACTGGACTGTCAACTGGTTTGTACCATCGGAGCTCGTGGCAACAATGATTGGAAAACTGTGGGGACTTGAGAACATGGTTCTGAGCTGGGTTTACCCACAAGGATTCTTCTCAATTATGGAGACAATTGTGGCTACTATATACAGCGTAAATACGCGGAAGTTGGGACAGCGTCGTGCTGAGATGAGCTCATAGTCAGCATCCTGCATTTCGATGCACCATCTTCGAAACGGAATTCCACGCTGGCATTAGTTATGACATCAGGATGACTTTATTGGTCATAGAGTGTCTTTGAAAGACATGGGGAGTAATCCGTTCATCATTGTAGCTCTCAGTAACAGTAACTAGTGTAGAAGGTTGGGGGACATTCTGGATGGTTTTCGAGGCTGCCGCGAGCCTGTTAAGCTAGTTAAACTAGCGGAATAGAAAAAAAAAATACTTTGAAAATTCTCTGAGCCACATGACCTCGCTACCCATGTCCTGCGCCAACTTGCGAGCTTGATAGCTATTTTGGGGAACTTGAAAGAGGTCTCGATCTCGGCTTATTATTGTGCATTTCATCCCGAAAAAATTAAGAATGACAGTTCTAGTCCACAATGGACTGTATTTGGGGTGCATTCAGATTAGCAAGGGGATATGCGCTCTGAATAATATGTCCGCGTATATCCAGGTCTCCATATGCCGTTCCTCGGATTGTCAATTCTTCAAGTAGTAATGATGAGCTCGGCAAGCGGGAGTGGGGATTACGAGTTAACTCTTGCTAGGCATAGCCGACATTATACCCGGGGCGTTTGGGGTAAAAATAAATATAAATAAAAAGCTACCATTTTTTATCATCACTGGAGGAATATCCCACATCCACTTTGAAACTACACTGATTCGGCCGCTCCAACGCGCGTATATCCAATGCTATATCCACCGCCATGACAGGTGGATGGAATTTCGGCGGCATCAGTGTGCATGAGGGAGCTTTTGCGGAGCCTACGGGTAGAAGTTGTAAAGGACCGCGACTCAACTACGAAACTCAGATCTTATTGTAACGTACATTACAATTGACAGGTCATAAGCTTTATTGGTAGAGCTCGTCACCGTAGTTACCATCGATACCGGTGATCTTCGTATCCCGTTCGCGTGCGACCGGGGTTTCGGGGCTCATATTCTTTGTCAATTATTTTTGTGACCTCCTTGAAGCTTTCCCGATAGATTTGGTGGCGGACCTTAGCTCCCATACAGAGTAGTCCATGACGAGCATATAAGTTGGGCCAGTAGCACGATTTGTCATGACAAGAAAGGCGCTGTCATTCCTCAACTAATCCGGTTTGATCTCTAGAACTCCATAGCCAGTGCACGAGGTAAAAATTTTTATAAAAAGAAAAAAGAAA